GTTGAGAGTTTGCCCTGTAGCTTTGGGTCGCTCTTTATAGGTATGACCTCAATTCTTAGAGAGGCACACGACGGATTGGTTCCAAATATTGGAGTGATTTGGGGCCCATCTTGGCATTTTGCAAGGCTGCAAGACACTCATTTGATGATTTTAGGCTACCCTTGCCCTTTTTTTCCGGTCTCATATACTCCATTTGAAACCCCAAATCGCCATTTCCCCTGTGGTTTCTCTGTGTCGGGGCACTGGAGGTACTCCCTGGGCTGAAGCAGCGGCAGGGGAGACAGGTGCATCCTGGAACCACGGTAACTACTCCTGTAAGTTGGGGTATGGGGCCCGTACAACTCTGCTTATAGATCTAAGTGTAACTGGAACTGCAACCCCCGTCTGGGAATTGATCAAAACCTAAATTTACCATGAATTTCTCAGAAATGAAGATCCATTTACCAGCCATTTTTTTCGTGTGAACAGGACCCATGGCCACATCAACAGGAATTCTAGATATTTCAGGTATGTTTTTCAAGGAGAGTTGGTACATGTTGGTACCAACATGGGTCATATTGCGGCATCCAGGGGTGTTTTTTAAGGTCCCCGGGTAGCATCGGGTACCTACCTTTGCCGAGAACGACAGCCCAAGCATGGCCTTGGGGTAACCCAAAATGGTTCCAAAATATTGCACCGTTTCGTCCACTGGAATCTATTGGATATGGGGCGCAGATGACCCATGTTATAAAATGTTATAAAGCTGAATGTATTGGAGCTGTTCATTTGGCCAAACGAAGGGAAAAACATGGGTTCCGGGATTGCTACTCCTTAGGCATTTTTTTTTCGTTCCATTCATGGACCCCAGCAAAATGGCTGACCATGGAGGAGATGAACAGCTAACATCCATGTCATTGGAGACCCTGTCCATTGCCGAGGGGCAAGCTGCGTCACGTGAAAAAACATGGTGGTCGGAATGTGAAGGTTAAACGGACCCAGCAAGTGATGTTTGTATATGTTTAAGTTGGTTTAACTTATATCTCACTGGTTGGTGGTTTGGAACATTTTTTTTCCATTCAGTTGGGAATATCACAATCTCAACTGACGAACTCCATCCTTTTTCAGAGGGGTTCAATCCACCAACCAAGACTCAAAACAAGTAGTTATGATCAACGTAGCCCGCCAGTTTCGATATGGCTTTTGAAGACCAGACCAAGAATCTTGAACGTGCTCTTTTTATGTATAAATATATATATATACACACATATTAAATATCTATTTTAACATTGCAGCAACGTGCGTGTGTACATATATATATACATACATACATACATACATACATACATACATACATTACATACATACATACATACATACATACATGCATGTAAGACGCATATATTTATCTAATATATATAGATCACTGAAGCACCTTGATTCCTCCGACTGTCCTGTCTAGACGATGGCAACCACCACATGGCATTGTTGGAGAGGCTTGGCACAGGCGCGCCGTGTCCACGGCATTGATCATTGCCATTTTCTTCGGATATTCCACTGGATATATACCGAAATATACCTTGTGTAATCTTATAACCAAGAATTTGATAGTTACTTTCTTCATGACACAGATTGATTAGCTCTTGGGAATTAGCTAAATTTTTGCAGATTTTGACGAGGAAACATATGGGGATACAATTGATACATGATGGTTGGCTGGATATACTCTCCTCTATACTTTGGGGATTGTCACAATACATGAACATGCAGTCAATGATGATCGATAGGATAGTCCCTGGTCATACACCAGAGTCAGGATATACAATGGTATCCCATTTACACCATGGGTCATGATCATTTTAATGCTTGGTTGACCGACTTATCCAGTTATCCGTGGTCATACACCAGCACCATGACAGTAGCATACGCATCTGTCGGACTGGGTGAATATGAAGCTTCAAGCTCCATCAACCAACGGTGCCATGGTCAAATTGGTCAAGATACGTTGGCGAACATTTCTCATGTTGGGGGATGGTCATCAATCCATTTTCATAGGGCGAAAAGTGTACCCTATGTCAGGACTTTTATTTCCATTGTGGGGCAGTCTTGGGCCTCACATGCAGCAGGCACTGGTAGTCACTGGTAAGAAACGCACACTGCCTATGAATTACTACAGGTACCTACAGGTATTTTTTCTGTATTCAGTTTTATAAGTGCAGGTTATAGCTAGTAACCAAAGTGATTGTCCGGCATTTGCACCAAGAGCTTCAATGGAGCCCCAAAAATGGCGAGAGACAAGCACTTCCCAGGGACCTGATATGACCGGTTCAGCTTTCCCAAGACGGAAAAGCACAGAGTCAGGGGATGTCAGGGGTATAGATTGGATTATACTACAGTCCATTGAAGTGGTGCATTAAAACGCTGATTTGGGGGTAGAAGTCTATCAAAAACTACAAGTTCCAGCCGAGAATTGGTCCTTGTATGTCCTTGTACCACAATTATATGTATAGATAGCAGTAGCAATACCCCAGTTATAGTTACACCATTTATACCCGTCCTATGGTAGGGCTATGGTTCAAAATTCCACCCAAAAACTGGTTGGGGTGAGATGCGATAAACAATCTGTGGGTTGGAGGGTACTCCCTTCTTGACCCCCATTGAAGTGGTGGATCAGCTAATGGTAGTTACTTTCAAAATTCTTGAAAAATCATTAATAAGTGTATCCGAGACAATCACATATAAATGATATATATATATATGTGTCTAATATGTATATATATATATGTATAATATATATATATGTATAAATATATATATATATTCACATGTATATGTATATATGTATTAATGTGATACATTTCCACATATGTTCCCGTGTCTACATGTTCACATGACTTACATGTGTTATAATATACATATATATATATACAGGATTGCCCCCCAATCATAAATTGAGTTATAAACCATTACAATCCCAATTAACTAGTTCGTTATATCTAAACCATAGAATTCAGCCACTTATAAGGCAACTTAGCTAACTACGGGGCACAACCTTGTACCATCTGGTTATTTAACAGTTCGCCATGGAAAATGGTTTTCCACATATATAACCAGGTATCAAATCTCCATAGAAATAGATGGTTTACCGTTCTTAAACATGGTGATTTTCCATGGCAAACTGTTAGTCACAACCAGATGGTAATGATTACATTTGGGAAATTCACATGAGTAATACTGGACTATATTGAGATCTATTACATTTTTATTCCCAGATGGTAACCAGCTAGCTAACCCTCCATCCATAGCTGGTCGGTCGCCAGAATCTCCAAGGGGCCGAATCACCACCGCTGCCCGATGTGCATCAAGTCTTGCAGAGTCTCTCAGGCAGGCTTTCCCGGCACAGTTATATATGGACTAAGAGTTTGCAATGGAAAATCACCATGTTTAAGAACGGTAAACCATCTAAATTTCTATGGAGATTTGATACCTGGTTATGAATAATGACGTGGGGGGATACCATCTGGTTATGACATTCACAGGGCCAGCCATGGAAAGATCCACCATGCGAAAAAAAGAACGGTGTGTACCATCTATTTCTATGGGACATGGCTTCCATCGAACTGTTAGTCATAAGTCATAACCGGAGGGTAATATAGCTCATATAGCTCATATACCTGGTGTACCCCAATTTCATGGCGATGTTCGGGTCGGAAAGTGGACCCAGTTGGGACAAAAAAATGTGGATCTAAAAAATATCCCAAAAACAAAAAGGGTGATATGTTAATGGATATGTACCATTCATGTAGGATATCATGGTTCATAATGATGATTACGTACCCCATATATACCATTAATGGTACCAGTTATAATCACCATATAATGATCACTAATAGATAGCAATTCGCTGAGAATGGGCATACTTTTTTTTTCCTTCCTTCCAAACTGTATGGGTTCTTCTCATTTCTTCTGACTGGTTGGGTGTTCGGTGGCGCACTTTTAAACATCCTCCAGCTGTCGAGTGGTGCCGATATAATCATGACATTGCCCCATTTTGTCATTCATCTTTTTGTCATTTGCAATGGCTTAAACGAATGGTCTTGGGGTATTCCGATTTTGCAGGAAGCAGCCAGAAAATGGGTGTTTTGCCATCACAATTGAACATGAAACCCAACAAGTTGCGCCATCTTCCACCATCTCCCGTATTAAAATCGTCTAAGGGGACCGCATTTTTCAGGAAATTTCGGGAGTTTACCATCGGTTAACGAATGGGCATTTGATTTAAGTAACAAATATGGAGATTCAATCAGTTATTAACTTTTGACATATTTTTCATAACTTTCTGGAAATCAGTAACTCATTGGTAACTTAGTTCCTCATATTTTTCATGAAGTTCCTCCTGTATTTTTTTGTCCATGGGTCTCACTTAAATGAGTTAAGCCAATGAGAATGTGGCTTGAACCAGCAAAAAATCTGGCTACCATTTCGGCAAGGAAATGCGGATCTTGTTTACCTCAAACAGCTGGTTGACCGACTGCACATGTTCACATGTGAAATTTTCCGTAGAAAATCGTCTACGAATGGATACTTAAATGGTTGATGAACATCAACATCTATGTATACTATTTGAGTATATCTATGTTAGTTTACCCCAGGATAACCTTTATATACCTTTATATTAGATATTGAAAATCAACTATATATCTTATGCATCTTATATATGTATATCTATGAAATATCAAGGTTATCCTGGATATCTATGTACATCTATGAATCTTTATATTTCACCTTTATGTCCCATGTCCCATGTCCGTGACTCCCCGGTGGCTCCCGGGAGCGCGGCAAATTCTTATCCATGCTTGTGATCATTAAAATTATAACAGGTGTATCCATTATGAATGGTAAATTAATTATATATGGTTTATAGTTTGTAATCATCACTCTGCACCATGATATCCTACGTGAATGGTACTTTTTTCCTCCGGCCTTTGAGAAATTCTCGTGCCTACGTGCATAGCTTCAACAGCCTATCTCGGCTGATAGTCCGGCTTGATGGCATCATACTCCGTATGGATGGCCATGTCTGCCAATTGTCGGCCATAGGCCTCGTCGTTTGTGATTCCATGCGATAGCGTCCTTTTCTGAATGGACACAAAAATCGCATGGGCAAACGCTTTATTCAAAAATGACGGATATTCCTTCGCTTTCGCCGTGCGATAGGAACCATCGGGATTCTTTCCTATCAAATAGGAGTCAGGTTTCTGTGCATTGGGGTCCTGACAGACATCTAGTGACGCCGGCAAATCAGAATTGGAGTAAAGAAAGGTGGTAGGCTTTATACCACAACTTCCGAATTTCCACTGAGCCGCACTCACTCGTCGAAAAGGTCCATGTGGTGGTCGCTGCAAAAGTCGAACCAAGCCCAGGCGCCATATCGAAGAGATGCTGTCATCGTATGGGGTGGCCGGGTGCTCCAAGATCGTCACGCCGCCCTGAAGAGCCACCAAGCACGCCAAAAAGAGCCCTTTAAGCAGCAAAATGTTTCCAGTATAAATTTGGGCAAGCTCTCCAAAAGTCAATAGCAAAAGGCCCCATGGGTCTGAGGCAGAGCGAAGCGGTCGTGGACCTCGTACTGCATTACCTTCATCGTCAATCTGTTGATGATGTCGTGCAGCTGTCCAGGTCTCGCAAGGAGGTCCTTGCAAAAGTCCCAGGATCCGCCCTGCTCTTGCTATTGTTACCAGAAAATTCCAAAGTCCTTCCTCATGGACATTCATGGTCGGATCGACAGCTGTATCAATGGATAGCAGTCGAATCTCAATGGCTGGCAGCTGTGATATGATGGTCGCCATGGCATCATGGAAATCTGCCGGCCGTCTTCGTCCTGAGTAAAGGTGGATCACATAATATGGTCCAATCTTTGAAGGTTGCTGCCTGCGTGGGCTTCCAAGGAAACGCCATTGGCTTCGAAGGTTTTCCTGATTGCCCATGTCAGCATAGGGCATGTCAATGACATGGCCATATTGTACCTGTCGAGTCTGCTTCGGCTGCTCGCGTGGTGGATGACTGGGAACATCAGGAGGTAGATTCATCCAAATCGTAGTGAGATGTTTCATATCGTGTCGCCGTTGCCAGGCTGGAATGTCGACAACCATGTCCATGTATGCAGCTTCCAAGATCTCAATGACATCTGGATCTAAATCAACTGGCCAGGAATCATAGAAGTCTGTTTCGATCCAATGAACAAAAATCCGTCCTCCCAGAAGGTCTGGGACATCCAGTGCAAAAATGCTGGCAAACATGATGTTGTGAAAATTCTCAACTGTCGGGATTTCCTGTGCGCACCAATCTTGCAAACTGCATCTGAAGGCGTCAAAGGCTCGCTGCACAAGAGGCGGATCTCGTTCAGGATGCCACCATGCATATTCATCTTGGCCCTGGCGTCGCAATTGAGTGATGCGCTGTTGCAGCTGGGTTCTGTAACGCTGGACACTGGTGGGTCGGAGCGGCCCTGAGTGCCTTCGGATGGCCGGAAGTCGCACCACATTTTTTAGGTGCTGAGGCAATCCAATGGTCACAGGTTCATCTGGGAGACGTGCACCAACGATGCGATCCCAACATCCATTTTGCCGATAACGCAAATGCTGGTGAACTCTCATCGTCGTATGGAAATCTTTGAGACATCCTGGGCATACTGTCGATTGGATATAGGGCTTCTCTTCTGAGAGCTTCCCATGTACCTGAAAGGCATGTGATCCAAGCGCTTGAGCTGTACTGAAACTTCTGTCACAGGCGGGACAGATATGCCGCTCTGTGGCAGGTTCATCCTGCTGTTCAATACCATTCCAAAACGTAAATCCAGCATCTTCAAGCTCTTTGATGATGAGGTCATGGTAATGGTTGACATCATGAGCTATGCGATCTTGGATTCCATGTTTTTTGCATGCCCGCTTGACCATGCTTTTCCATTGCGTAGATGTGGTCAATGAGGTCCAAATCTCGCGCCAATCATCGGCTGTTTCTGGAGGGCTGAAGGGCAGTTCTACTGTCTGTTGCATCCATGCCAAATCAACACAAACTTCATGAAGCCACCCACGTCCCTGTGCAAATTCCTGCAATAATAGAGACTTATGAAAGGCAGATCCGTGCTTGGCAATGTGTTGCAAATAGACCAAACGATGTCGTGCCCAGATGATACGAAAACTAGAAGTCTCCAAATGAAGTCTGAGTTGCGCATCTGTCATGTGGGCATCGTTCCAGAACCCAATGTTGGCCATCTGCCTGTGGTGATCGGTAATGAGAGCCTCAAGTTGTGCAAGCTTTGCATGGGGCACATCTGTCCATACCGCACATCCATAGAGCAGTCGTGATGTCACAAGACTGTCGTACAGCTGCATGCGTCCTTTCAGTGGGATGTAGGTGTTCTTGAAGAGGGCCCTCTTGAGCTCTTGAAAGGCTTGTCTAGCCATTGCGATGCGGGTGGTGATTTCCTGGCCAGCATCTGCATTCATCGTAAATTTCGCACCAAGGTGTCTGTAAGTGCTGACAATCTTCAATGTCAGTACATGAGAGGCTGTTGATGTGACAATGCACGGCTGCATGGTATTGTCAAACATAGCAGTGCGGCTTGCATTGGCACCTTTACCTCTGAACATGATCACTGCCTCAGATTTTCCACTGTCGAAGTTCATCGTCATGCCATGTGACCGAAAAATCTCATGTAGAATGCCTACCACGTCCTGGATCAAAGGAGGCATCTGATGGGGTTCCTCTGTGGCAAGTGGAACTGCCAAATCACCCACCCATGAAATTGGTGGCACTTTGTTTCCGATAAGCTCACAACCACGGACATAGGAGGGGATGGCATCCAATGCTTCGCCTATGCGCTCCATCAGTCTTGCCATGAGCAAATTGAAACCCACGTCAGCTAAAGGAGATCCAGGCCTTGTGCCTCTTTCAGTCACAACCACAGTGTTGTCCTCTGTATTCATCTTGAACCATGTGGACTTGTGGATATCATGTAGAAAAAGTCGTAGAGCAGGTGGAATATCATCAGGGATGATTTGACAAGCAGCCTGTAGGTCAGTGGCCAGTTGCTGGATGTCAAAGTTGTTTGGATCAAAAATCCGTTGCAGTGTCTCTTGACATACTGGGTCATCAATCGTAAAGATGAATTCCCTCAGCATGTGGTGGAAGGCCGACTGCAAATCGATGAATATCACGGCTGTGGTCAGCTTGTGTTTTCTCCCCTGATGGCTGTGAAGCTTCAACAGTTGGATCGCTGTGATGGTTTGTTGTGATGGTAAACCACCAATTTGTCCTGGAGCCTGTCGATGCATGAGCGTGGGAAGCAGTCTGCGACGTGTCCAGGAGTGCAGTATTTTGCCATACGACTCTGACAGCAAGATTCCACGATAAGCACTGGGATCACTGCGAGAATGCTTCTGCTTCCAAATTGCTTGGAGGCGGCCACCTTTGTACCTCATGGGTTCAACGTTCATCAAGAGCGACTTCATGATGAGGTTGTGCATAAACGGAGCGATAGTGGTGGCTGCAAACCTGCATGTCTCAGGTGGAATCTCATCAAGTCCAGGTGCTTTCCCTGCACGTTGTTGCAGGCAAAGATTTTCAATCTCGATCAAAGTGGGAAGATCTGAGAGTTGAAGTTGACGTTGAGGTTCTCTTGCTGATAGCTCAGAGTTGTTGCGTTCGATACACTGCTGCATTGCTTCCTCAAAGGGCATGGATGTTCCCGCTTCCAGCGCTGAGAAGTGATTGATGAGTCCTTCTCCCATCTCATGTTGAGCTTGTTTCTGCTTGCTTCGATTGCGAGGCAGAACTGCTTTGATCTTGCGCCAAACTGCTGATAGGCCTTCATGTGTGTATGCATGACCTGTGTCTTCGGCCAGTTTCAGGTAGTAGGCCGTGTCAGCTTGTCGGATAGCTTTGGAAACCTGAAGTGACGTCTTTTTCAGCGTAGACATGCGTTGTGCTATACTGTGATCCATCATCTTCATCCAAAGCCAGGGATCATGAGCATCAGGAGGTAGAAGTTGACTTCCATGCTCCGAAGAGAGTTTGCATCATGGTGTGTCGTTGATTTTGTCGCAGGGTCTTCAGCTGTCGAAATAACTTCTTCTTGCCATCAACAAGACTCCAAACTTCATCTGGCACATGTCGTTTGCGGCGCCATATCTGGTTTCGTGGAGCCAGTGTTTGTAGCGCTTGTTGAGTCTGTTGAGCAAGATGATCTGCAGATCGATGTGGGTCGAGATACCATGATGGGTTGCAAAGATATTTCTGGAGAGCCTGTGCAGCTTGAGGGTCTCGAAGACTTTCAGCAAGGCCGAACATTGATCCATTGGTCTCACGCAGTTGTTTCCCTTTGTTATCAGAGGGAGCATCAATAGCATACTTGCAGTGGCACATCGTTGCAAGATGATCAATCCGCGCTCCACCAAGTTCTAAATCTTCTGCAACCCATGTAGTGACTTCATGGAAATGGATACAAGTGGGTATGGCAATGTAGTCAATGCGACTCTCATGTTCTCCATTCGGGGTGACGAAAGTGGAATGACGTCCCCCATCATGATGCGCAGCAAATGTGCATGGAAGCCATAAACCATGCTCCAAAATCCAGTCGTGAAATTGTTTTCCTGGGGCATTTTCTGTGACAGCACCATGGTCTCCAACAGCAGCTGTTACATGTTCACCAAGATGCCCATTGGTGTCTCCAAGGAAAAAGAGGGGCATTTGCGATGTATACTGTCGAATGGCACTCGAAATGTTGGCCCAAAACTTCTCATTGTGCACATCATCATGCCCAGAGTGCGGAGCTCTACCGGTCACAAAAACACACTTCCAACCTGGCATTTCAAGTTTCACGGCCAGAAATGTGGGGCTTGATGTCAAAATTTTGAGGTGCTTCAAGAGAATGTGAGATCCATTGGGATGCAATGGCAGATTCTTGGCAAACCACAGTTGTACTCCATCATGTCCGAGATGATCACAAGGGTGTCCGACAATATGGAAATGAGGATTGTTGGGATCAATGATCTTCTTGTGTCTCGTCTCTTGTAGGCCGACTACGGCGCAATTGGCTCGGACAAATTGCTGCATCAGCAGTTGTTGTTTGGTCGGTGAGATCCGCCCAAAATGGTCTTCTGTGGCAAGTGTCAAAACATTTACAGTTGCCAGGGTAATGTCAAATTGTTGTAGCGGATGTTGTTTCGACCTCTTGGTATACTGAGAGTGCAGTGAATCTGTGTGATCATACTGATCAATTGTCTGGGCCTGCGAGGTCATGACAGTACCATGAAGTTGTGGTGCATCATGTGGGCTTGTCAAGAGGTGCTCATAGTACCAGATCCATGGGAGCTCAGTTCGATATTGCCCGTCTGTGATCCATGGCATCCATGCTGCACAACCCGGTACTTGTTCAGGATGCAATGCCGCATATTTCGCTAGCTGATCAACTAACTCATTTCGGGGATGTTGGCTGTGAGCTTTGACATGCATCCAAGTCAACCTCTGATGAGTGTGCCGTCTTTGCAAGACATGCGCCAATGAGCGGAGGGCAGCCTTCCAATTCGTATGTTCAACAGCGCGCCATATGCCAGCAGTCTGATAGCCGGTGTTCATTGCGTCAAAGTTGAAAGAAATGTCAACCTCAAAGGTGGAGAAAGTGGCTGAAATCCAATCACTCATTTGAATGGCCCAAATAAGAGCCCACATCATCGCAGCATGCTCGCCAATGAAGGCATGTTGGGCAGGAAGTACAGCTTTGCTCATGCATCCTGCAAAAACTGTCGCATGTTCATAATCAATGAAGCACGCAATTCCAGCGCCAACA